GCTTAAATCAAAAGGAAATCCGCTCAAATTAAGAGGCTTGGTTCTTGATTTAAGCAAAAATCCGATTGTATCAAGAGTATTTTTTCTCATCGATGTTTTTAAGAGTCTGGACTCTAGATACAATGTGTTTTTCTTTTTCTTTCTTTCTTTTTCCAGTGATGTATTGTCTATGTAGCGCCCGAAAACCCCGGATGATATGAATGCGAAGTGAACTTAGCACCATAAAAGCGTATTACACTCCACAAAAAGAGTAGATTCCACTCCGCAATAGTGTAAGTCACTCTGTAAAAAGAAAAGATTTTGAAACGTCGCATGGCACGTGCGATACTTTGGCCGGAGGGTAACGATATACGTATCAGAATGCTTAAATTCGAACCTTGCCTACTGGTCCATCACGGGGAAAAAAAAACACATTGGATCCAGAGTCCAGACTCTTAAAAACATCGACAAGAAAAAATACTCTTAATTCAATCAGATTTAAGCTTAAATCAAGAACCAAGCCGTTTACTTTGAGCGGATTTCCTTTTGATTTAAGCTTAAATCTGATTGCATCAAGAGTCCTTTTTCTTCTCAATGTTTTCAAGAGTCTGGACTCTAGATCCAATGTGTTTTTTTCCAGTGATCACTAACGACCGCTCATTGCCTGCGATACACACAATGTCCGTTCTCTGTGTAATGTAAGATTTTGACGTTTTCCAGCTGCAAGTGGAAGGTCTGGGAACGGGGGAAAACATCACGCTCCCGGACGGGACGGTGATCCCGGTGAACGTGACGGCGGTCAAGTCCAAGCTGACCGGGAACCCGCAGATCGACTACGTCTACGACCCGAATCTCCCGAGGGAGCTCAACGGCTACAACCTCACCGACTACCCCTTCTACAACGGAGTCCCCGAGGACATTGACTTCAAATGCGACGGGCTCCACGATGGCTTCTACGCCAGCGTCCCGCACAAATGTCAAGTGAGTACCTTTGTTCAAAATAATCTACCCAAGGATCGTTCGGAAAGTACCTAACGTCACGTAGGCACCTTAGTATCACGTGATGCTCACCGAAAAATCCTCCTCATTTCGTGGTGGAGCTCTTGCATGTCTCAGGAATTTGCAGGGAATTTGAGGACTGATTCCCGTGTAAAATTTCGCGAGAGACACGATGGTGCCACTGATTTTCTCTAAAACAACCCTCAAAACTCAAAGAAAGTTCTCAAAATTGAGGCCTAAAGTATTGACGTTAAAGGATGGGATATCCTGCGCTACCCTGAGATGCCTATTTTACAAATTCGATCAAACTCTCCATGCGAAGATAGGGAACAAATACATTAACAGGGTTCAGGGTCGGATTAAGGGGGTGGCCACATGGGCCGCGGCCCATGGCGGCAAAGCTAGGAGGTGGCAAATTTTGCAATTTTTTTTTTAATGTAGGCAAAAAAAAAAATTACAAAAAACATCTCTCATTTCTTAGAGTATGGTAATTTCTAATTTTGTCGTCTATCGGTGATACAAGAGACAGCACCTTTAATTAATCGAGGTAAGAGAGCGACCAATCACGCAATTTGACCAGGAACGGCGCGACTGAGAGAGAAATGATGACAAGGACTTGAGATGAAGGGGAGAAGCCCTCGGCGCGGCGCGACGAGGCGGTCGGCATGTAACACATATTAGCGCCTACAATCCTACAAGACTGCACGAAAACTTCACGCATTGCATCAAACACAGTGCGGTCACTGCGGTCAGTGTGAAACGGATAACGCCTACAAGAATTCATGAATACTTCACGCATTGCGTCAAATACAGTGCGGTCAGCGTGAAACGCATAGCGCCTACAAGACTGCGTGAATACTTCACGCATTGCGTCAAACACAGTGCGTTCAGCAGCGGTCGTCGGCTTGAAACTCATAGCGCCGACAAAACTGTCGGAATACTTCACGCATTGCTCCAAACACAGTGCGGTCGGCGCGGCGGCGGAAGTTAAAATCATTAAACCACATTCATGTTTGTTTTTTCATGATTTTTTCGTTCATTTCTTATGAATGGAAGGCCTTGTCCACGCAACGATAGGTTTACGAAACTTATCGTTCGCACAAAGTTCGGTGAATTTTTGCTAGTAGTGTTAACGAGGCTTTCCCAAAAAATGTTTCCAACACGAGTAAACGCGTCTTGTGCACCCCACCCCCGCTGGCACGTTCACTTGATGGTTTTTATTGATGTTTCAAAACGAATGAGAAGAAGGCGGCCCATGGGCGGCAAGAAGGTAAATCCGGCCCTGACAGGGTTGCAACTTTGTTTGCGGACTCCAAAACTGAAAATGCGACAGCGCTGCTAATTTATTTGCTTCCCATCTTCGCATGGAGAGTTTGATCGGATATGAGGGTGGAATCTCAGGGTAACAGTGGCGTGGCGTGAATTGCGATATATCGATTGTTATGCCGTTTAAACCTTTGAAAAAAGATCGATTATCAGGGTGTTCGCAGCGAACACCTTAGTAATCGATTCTTCACCATAGTTTCAAATGGCGAGATATCGATAATCGATTATTCACGCCACGCCACTGAGGGTAACGTAGGAAATCTCCTCCTTTACGGCCTTAATTTTGAGAACTTTCTTTGAGCTTTGCAGTTTGTTTTAGAGAAAATCAGCGGCGCCATCGTGTTTCTCAAGAAATTTTACATTTGATTCCGTACTTAAACCGCAAATCTTCCACACACGCGAGAGCTCCATTCCAACTAATATGAGTAAAAAGTCTAGTGGTGACAATATAATTAATCTCCCTGCTCTTTTTCGGGAGATGTGTATGAGTAGAAATCCAATCGATATCCTGCTAGACGACGAATCTGCAATGCCTAACATCTTAGAGACTAATCTTTGCGTCAAAAATTTTAAGATGTGAAAATTGATTCTTTTTCAATTTTACAAAATATGAAAATCCCTCTTGATTAGAAGCAGCACTTCACGCATGTGAAAGCAAATTTATGCTGATGTGAGTAGAAATTTACTACTGATATCACAAGAATACATTGGTGATGTGAGTCAGAGTGGAATCCTTAAAATATAAGTAAGCTAAAAACGCGTAGGACAAAATGCAAAATGTTTAGCAGGGACTTGCAGGGGTAGCAAGCAATGCCTCACGTGACTTCTACTCGATCCTGATTCATATATTCAAAACATTTTATTTTTGTATTATTTTATTTTTTAATTTTGACTCTAATTTTAATTTTTGGAATTTCTTGGCTTTGTTTCCCCGCAAAATGATGTGAACCCATTTCTCCACCTTGTTACAAAACATTTTATATACATGCTATATTACTGAACTCAATTTTTTGCGTTTTCAAACGAACGTAATTATGAAAAAATTACAGCCAAGTTACCTTACGCCCAAAAAGTATACGATAAAAAAATTTCAGAAAATAGACCATCATAAATGACCGATCGAACAAGATGTTTTATTTTGAAATAGTGATTAAGTTTCCAAACGCGTTCAAATAACGATAAACGAGCCGTCAGTGTATACAAGTGACTTTGAAAGTGACGAATAGCCCTCCGGTCAATCCTGAGGTTCGATGATTTCGTAAACCGAAGAAAATAATTCATTAGCGCACATTATTTTTAGACTATTTTTTAATCTGATATAATCTCTGCCGCCAGAGCGAGCAGGAATGCCAAGGCAGCCTCCGGCACGGCCGGCGCGCGCGGTGCCGTTCAGAAGCTTCGCAGGCTTGAAAACCTTGACCAATAAAATCGTGCACACTAATGCGATTACTCCTCACAACTTTCTCAGGGAAAATTGCAGTACTCATGGGGATTTTTCTGTCGAACGGGAATAGACTCATTATATGTCGAATGATGACCTCAGGATTTGCGGAATAACTTGACGTTTCGCGGGATCGTTCGACATTCGACAATCATGTCTCAGCATGAATCAATGATTCATTCGTAAACAATCTGGGCCTGTTGCACATATTTTTATATCGCTTGTATCGAAAGAACTAAGGATCTTGATGTTACAGGTGTTTTCCCGGAGTTTTTTGACCACCGGGAACCCCCAACAAATCAACGAAAGCCAGTACTTTTACAGGGCTTTTTTAGTACCTTCCCAAGAAATTTAGTGTCTCATCCTCGACAGAAAAATTCAGTACTTTTTCAGTACCTCCATTTGACGAAATTCGAAAAATGTCAAAAATTTGAATTTCTCGCTCAGAAATGAAAAAACTTCCGGACCTCCTTGCGGAATTTCCGCACTTTTTCGGTACTTCCGGACCGCCCTTAAGAAATCAGTACTATTTCCGGACCTGCAGACACTCTAATCATTTACAATGTACCTCTCCGTCTCCATAAGGAATTTACAGCCGCTTGATGAAGAGACCACGTTTGTCATGCACTGTGATGTCACGAGTCCGGATCCGTTCGCGCGTAAAAAAGACCATTTCAAATGGGTCGGTTCCTAAAACTGTTTTTTGTCAGTTTGGGACGTGATTTCAAGATTTTTTAAAAGCGCCATCGTTCTTTTCGTGAAATTAGCCATTAAAATCAGTTATCAATTCGCAAATCCCCGTACCTTGCAACAGGCCCAATCGATTAAAAACTTAATTCACTGCAGTTTGTATTGTTTCAAACTGTTGGATTCAAATTGTACTCGAATATAACGTACTGGACCTCGATGCAGGGTCAGTTACAGCACCACGAGACACATTTTCTCCTCATAATTTCAACGGAGACCGTGGACTACTAGGGGCCCGAGCTCCTTCCGGAAAATAAATTAGATTTCGCGCAAGAAGAGCGTAATACTCCTATCATCTTTGAAAGTGTATTCCAATCAATTTTTCGGCGAGAGCAGCTCAAATATGATCCTGAAACGTCACAATTTCAAGAATCTTCCTGGAGAGGCTTCCAGGCCCCCTTTAGGAGCTGGCAGAATTTTCCCAAGCCCAACTTGATGAGGTGTATTTCGGTGCTGCACAGACCCCCCTTGATTATGCAGATTTTTTGACTTTAAATGTTTTTCTACAATTTCCCATATCAGAACGCAGCTCGTTATGCACTCTCAATTTCAGCAATACCATTTTTTTAAATGCAGATTCTCCATTAACGGGCAGCTTTTGAGCCGTTGCTCAAAGAAGAGCTTTATTGGATGAACTTAGTGAACTTGGATCGTTGGTGGTGCGTCATGAGCTGGCAACAAGGAGGACAACTGAGACTTGCAGAGAGTGAGCGCGTGCGAGCCTCGACTTAAAGTTGAGCCATCTCCAGCGGCGTCGCGTCGCGTCGTGTCTACGCCGCGGCAGTTAGGCACACTAATTACTCGCCCAGCGGATGCGATTCCATCTGTCATGTGCACCGTTACCTGTTGCCACTTGGATATAAAATTCCCGCAGGAGTCGGGGGTTTTCGATTTAACTAACTATGCCTCAGTAACCCAAGTAGCACAGATTGCAATAAATAGCAATTACATTGTAACAATATTGCAATTCCACTGAGTGTTGTGTATGTTGCCTATCTCCTATTTGAAGGGGCCCCGTTTATTGAAACGTATTGCAATAAAATTTAAATAAGTTGTAATTTTTCAATGCATTGCACGTTGCCTGTCTTTTTGACCCATGAAGCTCAATTTGTTGATTGTTTAAAATCAGCATTAATCGACTAAATGATGTAAAACTATTCCAATTTAAAAATCAAATTGCAATTTAATTTCAATATTTTCGTTGCACTGTGTTACTTGGGAAGAATTCGTTAGAATTGCGGAAGTTTTGTCTAAAATCATCCCTCCCAAGTAGCACAGTGCAACGAAAATATTGATATTAAATTGCAATTTGATTTCAACAAAATTGTAATTTTTTTACCATTGAATTGCAATGTTTTTGCATCATTTAGTCGATTTATGCCAATATTAATCAACAAAATTAGCTTCGTGTGTCAGATAGGTAAGCAATATGCAATGCAATGGAAAATTGCGACTTATTTCAATTTTACTGCAATAAGTTTCAATCAATGGGGCCCCTTCCAATAGGAGCCGTAGGCAACATACACAACACTCAGTGGAATTGCAATATTCTTTTACCATGCATTTGCTACTTATTGCAATCTGTGCTACCTACGAGGCTTACAAAACAATCCATAATGGACCAATAGACTTAATAATCGCCTTAGAGCTTGAAACTCTTTTTTTTTTTTTTCTCATTCCTAAGTTTCTTTTAGACGAACCTACATCGCCATTTAGTTTCTCTCTAAATTTTGAATTAGCTGCAGGAACCACATACTAATAAAAATTCGGTGATAGAAATCTAAGTTTAAAATCTGGCAACGCATAAAAGCTTTTTCATCAGTGCGGCACGGCACGGATGGCTGGGAAAGATCTTGCAGTGTTGCATTACATACCCATGTATAGTTACCGCGCTTTGGAGCTAACTTTTCTGCCGTGATAACGAAGAGAGCAGTAAGTGCATTTCTGTATGAGCCATGGTCAGCACATGCTTCTATGGGTCTCGAGATTCATCCCAGGCTGCACTTACTGCTCTCTTCACTAACACGGCAGTTTCATCGGAACTCTTGATAAGTTATAGTGAAATCTATACGGTAGAGTCAGGAACAAATAAAGACCCTCTGTTTGAATCTCAGCAATGGTGAGGACTTTTACTTTCAGAGATTCGACTTTTATCAATGAAGAGCAACCCTCACTTCAATTCTTTTTTGGCTAGTAAGCGAAACAGTGAGACTTATATTTGTCAAAGAAATTGCTCAACAACAGACCGAGTGGTATGATTTCAACAGCTGAATGATGGAGCCCCGAAAATTAAAGCTCAAGCCTGTCCCTGGAAATTTGACGGAAGGTCTCTGTTTGCCCCTAGTAAGATCATCTGAAAATCCGCCAAGATTAGTGCAGGTATTTGGATTTTCTTCGTAGGGCTTTAAGTATGTATGTACATGAGCAAGTCGCTATTACGGCGCGCTCTGCGACGCCTACCCGCCACAAGAATCTGCCATGGTAGAGATCCTCTGGAAGCTGGCATCTCTCCATGTATTGACGGATGCCCTCTACCCACCGTTTAGGGCTTTAAGTGCCCAGGGAATTGCAGATTTTGCGAGCAAATGCAGAGTCAATCGACTGGAAATATTGCTAAATCCGGTTGCGATACCAAAAATGTTGCTTGGAACACCTACGCGTGTAAGAGGTTTAAAAGTTGAATTATTATAATTGTATTAATTCATTTGATTGTTTCTTTATGTTATAGGTTTACCACCACTGCCTGTTCGGCACGAGGTACGACTTTTTGTGCGCAAACTACACGGCATTTGATCAAAAAACGTTCATCTGCCACTTTGTATCAGAAGTTGACTGTGATAATTCTCCAAAGTATTTTAAGAGGTAAGCTATTTTTTCTGCTGATACAGAATACATAATATAAGCTAGGGAGAGAATGGACGACAAGGTACGAATTTAAGCAATCTGATACATGTTTCTTAATCAGAATTTCACGTAAAACACGATTCGCGCAACGAAAATTACCGAAACTAACTCCTAACGAAGATATTATCATTTTTATTTCACATTGATTACGAGGAATTTGAACTGCCCGCTCTCAAGAAACTCAAAGCTCTACGTGAGTCAAATCGCTCACTACAACGGTTTCAGAAAGCTTCTCAATCGAGCAATGTTCATTTCCCACCATGTGTTGTTCAAACTATAGGTAAGCAATTTGCTATAGCTGAGCCAAAGCGTCAAGATTGAGGTTGCCAGATGTTTATATATAGCAGAGACTGTCATAATAATATTCAGCGCGCGATGTGAATCACGTAGAGAATTGAGTTTTCATGAGCGGGTGGTTTGAATTCACGTATCAAGAATCGTTAAATATCTTTGGAAGGAGTTGAATTCGATAATTTTCGTTGTGCGCGTCGTATTCTACGTGAAATTTTAGTTACGAATCATGTATCAGAATGCTGAAATTCGTACCTTGTCTAGTGGTCCATTGTGGTCTTTGTCTTTAAAAATCGAGATTTCATTGGAGACACAATAATAAAAATGAACTTTCAGGCTCTCTTCTTGGGGAGAAGTGAGTCGCGTGCAAACTGAGAGATGCCCTTACAATCGTAAAGTATTCCCTTGATTTTACGGATAACACCAAAATTTTCAAGATAGAGTTCCAAAAATCGTGCCTCGAATTGCGCTGATGCAGGTTCCTCAATATATTTTTAGTCACATTTTAGGTTCCACAATTTGTTCTAAAAGTGCCTCCCGATTTTACTTAGTCTCCTTTTTTCCGCCTCCAAAATGATAATATAAAAAATTTTCAAACAAAATAATGACTGTTGATCTATTAAGAAATAAAATAGACAGTGCATTTAGATGCACTTCGAACAAGATACGTGTGTCTCAAGTTTCACCATTAATTTTGTTCAAAGTGTTTGGCCTTGCCGGTCATCGGAGATAGGTTGTTGCTGGAATCATATTTATATTTGCACTGGCTGAACGTTCCTAAATCACGATAGAGGTATTCCTCGCATATAAAATGAGGAAAAAGGCGATTTCTCTTACTCAGTTACAAAAGAAGAAAAATAGAACAGGTGCCAGCAGTTTGCTTAGGCCTCGTCGTCTGTTTAGGAACGCGATATGACAGTGCATTGATGGATAGCGCCTTGATGCAACTATACATGCTCTCCGGATGTCTGTGTTGCATATACGAAAAACTGAAGGCGTTTTGAAAACTTTTCTATGCGGCGCGCGGCATTTCCTTCCCTAGCGGTCTTTGGCGTGTCTGATGGAAGAATGAAACCCAGCCCTCTATTTTCTCGGTTGAATTTTTAGGTGACTGGGTGCCTGTCTATTAAACTTGGTCCAGATAATGATAATTGAACTGTTTCTGTATTCGTGACGGAGTCAGGCAAAATATGCCTCGAGGTGGAGACTCATACTGTTCAGTACGGCAGGAAACCCGGTTTGGGTTCAAAAATATCGATTTTCAGTTTCCGATTAACACTTTCTGAAACTCTCAAGAATTCCAAATAATTTTTCTTTCAAATACCGTGTAATTTGGTCAAAGTTCCGGCCCATAATTAGCATTATTAAGTATACCGTCAGCTTTTGAAGCGAATCGTTCCTACGACTGGTAACCAGGGCCGGTTTTACTTACTTGCCGCCCATGGGCCGCTAGTATTTTGCCGCCCCCTTCTCATTCGTTTTGAAGCATCAAAGAAAACCATCAAATGAACATGCCAGCGGGGGAGGGGTGCATAAGACGCGTTTACTCGTGTTGGAAACTTTTTTTTGCGAAAGCCCTGTCAACGCTACTAGCAAAAGCTCACGGAACTCGGCGCGAAAGTTAAGTTCCGTAAACCTATCTCTGTGTGGACAAGGCCTTCCATTCATTTGAAAAAATTATGAAAGAACAAACATAAATGTGGTTTAATAAGTTTAACTTCCGCCGCCGCGCCGCGCTGACCGCACTGTGTCTGGCACAATGCGTGAAGTATTCCTACAGTCTTGTTCTTGTGTGCGGTATGCGTTTCACGCCGACCGCTGCTGCACGCACTGTGTTTGGCGCAATGCGTGAAGTATTCATTCAGTCTTGAAGGCGCTAATATGTGTTACATGCCGACCGCCGCGCCGCGCCGAGGGTTTCTCCTTTTTATCTCAAGTTTTCGTCATCATGGCTCTCTGCGCGGCGCCGTTCCAGGCCATATTCTGTGTTCGGTGTCTCTCTTAGTCTTAATTCGACTAATTAAAGGTGCTGTCTATTGTATCATAGAGAGATGACAAAATTAGAGATATACTCTCGGGAAATGAGAGATTTTTTCATCTTTTCTCGTTTGTATTTTTTTTTTTCTGCATCCGATTTTTCTTTACAGCTATATTTGAAAAAATTGAAACATTTGCCACCCCCTAAAACCGGCTCTGCTGATAACAGCACCGGCTAACTGTCACTGAGGTTACTTCGAACTCCTTTTTTCTCGGCATTAAACTTTGGATTGCCAAAAAAGGCTTGATTTAATGAATTGAGGACTTTTTCGGTAAAAGGGTCGTGTATGAGGCTTGCAATGCTGCTAAGATTGGGCAATTTTTTACAGCGTTTGTGGCAGATGAAATTCATTCACAGTCGACTAACTCCCTTACAATACTGAGGAAAAACTCAGGGCAGATTCAGGGAAAAATTCATTGCAGAACTGTTTGATAAGTTACCAGGGTGTCTTGTCTAGTAAAACAGGCTGGCCAAAAACCAGTACTTTTTACAGTACTTTTCCAGTACATTTCTACAAAATTCAGTACTTCCTCAACAGAAAAATTCAGTACTTTCTCAGTACCTCCATTTGACGAAAATCGACAAATTTTAAAATTTTGAATTTCTCGCTCAAATTGCGACAAAAATGACAAAAAAATGAAAAAAAATTCCGGACCTTCTTGCGGAATTCCCGCACTTAAAAAATCTGTACCATTTCCGGACTTGTAGACACCCTGCGGGGCGATTATTGAAACTGATAGACAAAGCGATCGACAAAGAAGACATAGGACGTATGGAGCGATCTTATTGGTCAACATGGTTGGTTCTTATAGACTAAGGAAGAAAATGATGGACTAACTGTCGAGTCTTTAAGTGGGTTGCCGTTAGTTAGTCCATTCCCTACCTCCTACGTCCATTGCCACCACCTGCTTCCACCAACAGGATCCCTCCAAATCCCTTTTGTCGTCTGTGTCTATAACTGTGTCTATCAGTTTCAATAACCGGCCCGCTGGTTACTTACAACTAGAGAACAAGATTGCACAATCTTCCCAGCATTGGAAGTCTAATACGCCCTTTTATCAAAAAATGTCTTAATTTTTTAATGTTTTCTGCGCAAATGATGCCAAAATTTTCTCTCTAAGCCGCGATATAGTAATCTCTCACCGTAAGGCATATTTTGCGGAATTTTTAAATTATTCCCGTTTGACTAGCACTTAACTGGTAATTTGATGTGTTGCAGAAACGAAGCTTTGTACAAACAAGACACGACTACGACTCCGCGACCGCCGCCGACAACGACGACGACAACAACGACGACGGAAGCCCCGAAGACGAAGAAGCCACGACGGCAGCGACCCAACAGGCGGCCTCGGCCCTACAAGAGACGCCGCCCCGTCTACGAGTACTACTACGAGGACGAAGAAGAGCCAGCCGACTCGGAGTATTACGAAGAGGAGCCTGCCACCTCTTCGCGCGGACATGGAAACGGTAAATACCACCTCGCATTATAGTATATATAGTTTCTGAAGGGCCATAGTTGGCCCCCCTCCCCTAGAATTTGGAAATTTATGCGGGTTTTCCACGTTGACTCAATGTAGTTTACGGAAATAATCATGATTTGGTCCATAAGCCACTGGATGCGTATTAAAGTATTAAACGATTGCCTGAACATAGGTCTGTAGGCGCATTTTAGAAAATGCGGGTTTTTCTATTGCCTGTGTCACATTATCAAAACACTTCTATCGAAATGTCGAGGTCCGGATGCGCGCGCAGCAGCTTCTTCTTCAAAAAAGTGGATCCCGCACGCTTTTGAAGAGTTAGTGAGCTATGATTGGTTCCTCTATTTCTTCGTCACAGAAACGGACAACCGCAGAGCGCTGACCTTGACGTTTTGATGGAACGCTTTGATAGTAGGACACAGACATATCACTCCGAGGTTTTTTTTTTTATACTGAGCACATCGTCTGACTAAAACGAGCTTTTGATATGTTATCGAGGAGGCTTTAGGACACATTTTAACTCTGGTTTGGTTTTGGTTAGATTCAGTGCTCTATAGGGCCAAAAAAGGCCCTTATCGATACCCCTCCTTTAAACGAACCTCTTTACGACCTTTTCAGAGTGAATGAATAAATTGGACGTATTCAATCAAAAGGAACTATCTCCATTGGTACCTGGGCCCTGAGATCCATGAGAAAACATGCATGGCACGGCCCATGTCACAGTGGAGATATTGCCTCTTGATTTTGATACATCTAATTTTTAAATATAATTTTCCGGCATGACAAAACAATCAAGCAACCCTGTTTCGTCATTTTCTCAAAAGCGTTTTCAGAAAAAAATCCCAACTACAAAAACTCATATTTTATTCCGAACAATGAAGCCATAGAAACGATGGTCCATTCACCTAGAAACATCCTATACTGAGATGTGCTAATTAGACTCACTGATTCTATCAGTGCAGAAATTTGCAGGACGTGAATAGTCTACTTTGGACCACATTTTGCAACAAGGAACTACAATTTCCGGGCTTAGTTTAAAAACACGTATGTACCATTCGTTTACCCATAAACATTATGTGTTTTTACGGATGAGCTAGATATTGCAGTTCCTAGTTGCGAATTTCATTCAATTTGATCCCTTTATTTCCATGAATCTTTAGTAAAAATTCCCTTTTTAAATTATTTCGTTTATATATTCCCTTTCGTTTAAAAGCTTAAATTTGATTATGTGCTTTATGACTCAATTAACTCGAATTCACCTCGATTTTCTTTTGCCGTTTTAGGTGGACACAAAAGGCCGAAAGACCGGAATAACGACGACGACTATGAAACCGAACACGACAAAGACCCCGCCGGAACCGAGGTGGTGAAACCGTCGGTGCGGACCTCGGACTCCCCATCGGTGTACGAGCGACCGCGCATCCCACCCAAGATCCCGCGCCCGGTTCCTAAGAACGAACGTGCCAAATACGACTACAAGAAACAGTCCGAAACATCCACAGCAGCGCCATCTAGCGGCAAGGAAACGAAGAAGAAGGAGCCCGAATACTACGACGACGAGTACTACGACGACGTAAAACCGAAGCCGAAGCACCACGACAGAGATCGCCACCGTCCGCGACACAGGCCCAAGAAGAGGCCCGAACCGGTTTACGACGAGTACGAGGAGGAACCAGCGCCGAAACCCAAGAAGAAAGAACCGGTTGAGGAGGCACGCGGAAGGGGAGGCTCGAAGCCGAGGAACGAGCCCACTGAGAGACCTCAAAGTCAACGGAACAATCAGCGGAGACCGATCAAGGAGGAGCCTACTCGAAAACCTGAACAGAAACCAGCGTACGAAGACGAGGAAGAGTACGAATACTACGATGATGAGGAATACGAGTATGAGCCGCCCGCCAAGAAAGACAAACCCGAACAGAAACACCGGTCCGAGACGGGGAAGAAAGATGAGCCGCGGTTTAGACCGGCGGAGAAACCGGTAGAGCGAACGGAGAAACCGATCGACAGGACGCGGAACTCCGGTGGGAAGCAAGGAAGAGGTCAAGATGAGTACAGCGAACCCAGAGACCAGGGTCGAAGAGATCAAGACCGAAGGGAGCCGGACCGAAGAGAGCAGGAACGAAGAGATCAAGACCGAAGAGAACAGGACCGAAGAGATCAGCAGGACCGGAGGGAACAAGACAGAAGAGACCAGCAGGACCGGAGAGAGCAAGACAGAAGGGAACAGGAAAGACGGGAGCAGGACCGGAGAGAGCCGGAACAAAAACCGGATTATGACTCGCGCCAGCAAGAAGAGGAAGAAAGATACGACCGGAGGGGTCAAAAGCAAGAGCCGAGGTTTAAACCAACAAGAGAACCCGATTACCAAGAACCAGACTACGGCTCCCCCAAAAATGAACCCAAATCAGGGAACGAGAGAACAGGTTCACCAAGCCAGGGTTCGCAAGGGGAAAGAGGAAACCGGTTCAGAGAGTCGAACTACGATGAGGTAAAGGTCGTTCCTGAGGCAGTGTCTGCAAGTAAGTTCAAGCCATCAAGACCGAAAAGCGAGCGACAAGATGAGCCTGTGAAATCCACCACCAGTGCTCAGGCCGACGAATACGTAGATTACGAAGTGGAACCCGAGGTGAGGGTGAAGCCACGACCGGTTGAGAATGCGCGGCCTTCCCCACCGAGTTACGCTAAAAGCGTGCCAACGAGCACTAGGAAGAGCAGCTTCCAGGAGAAAACGGCACCGTCCGAAACCTCATCGACCACCACAAACTATAGGCAATACGAATCGGATCCAGATCCTCCCCAAGCGAGTCCATTCTACAAGCCACAGTACATCAGTAGCAACGTTAGGTCCTACTACCAACCATCTCCGAAGACGGACATTGATAACAGAGAGCCACTGCAGCCAAAAGAGAAACCACAGAAGCCTGCCGGAGGCAGAGAAGCCACACTGCCTCCTACGAATTCCGAGCTGCTCCATCGGAAGCCGACCGCTCAACCCATCGACCCACTGGGTATCCGCAAACAAAATAAATTCTTGCCACCCCAAGAACCGGCAGACTACCAAGCTCCCTTTTTGGAGAGCAGTTTGGAATATAAAGCGAGGGGCACTCCTGTTTTGATTCGTCCATCAGCTCCTGAAGGTTTCAGCCTCAGAAATAAGCCTGCAGGAATGACGGCTGAGCAAGACAGACCTCAGAACCAGGATCAGACTTCCTTGGGAGGTTTGAAGAATTTGGGTCAACCACAACCGTTCAGTCATTCGTCCAATAGAGATTCTGGATACTCGCAGCCGGAAAAGAGTAACGCGCGGCAACCGTACAGACCGAAATACACAACAGGAGCAGGTGTACCGAGTTCTAGCGGTGCGTCCGGTCCTTCGGGACCATCAGGGGCATCAGGACCAGATCAGAGCTCTCTTAGTGGCAAGAAAAGTCAACAACCAACGGGAGCTCCACAAGAGGACTCGACACGAACGCTCATGCTTACAGGACCTGGATCTACATACTTGGAGAATACGGGTCCGGAGCCGAAAATTAAGTATCCTAAACTGCCATTAACCACAGGCTTAGGTTTAAGTTACCAGCGACCTGAGTCGATTAGAAATAGTAAACCCAGTTACAGTCCGACTGGACCTGGCCAAAGGAGTAAGTTATCTAGTTACCAGGGGAGCATCATTTCACCGTCGATCATAAAACAGCTGGATGTTACGGCACCGGGACCTTCTGGTTTAGGACGACAGCCTGCTCAAACTTCAACGATTAGGAATAATGGCATCCAAGAGAGCGATCAATTGGATTATGAAGAATACGATGTGACTCTGAATGATGCCTTGCAACCGTCGACACTGCACCCCACGAGAAGCTTGGCTCTTTCGGGTAGTTTTGCTCAAGATCCACTTTTGAGCCCGTCAATCAAAGGTCGAAGAACGATTAGCCCGCCGAGGAAGACGATAAACCAAGAGGCTTATGTGATTTCTGATGCAACACAGCAATTTCTGAACGTACAGAGAAATCTTGGGTACAGAGGGAGTATTGTGCCACAAGCTGAAGCCAAACAGCGGCAAAATTTCCAAGAGCAAGCACACATGGAATCGGAACGATTGGTCAGCCGAAGGAAACCGAAGCAACCAGACAATTCTCGAGTGGTGCTACAAGCGGAAGAAACACACTCTCGTCCGACAGCAAGTGATGGAGAAACAGCACCAGGTGTTTGGGTGATCCAGCAGGCACCCCGGCGAGTTGTTAACAAGCAAACTGCTCCTGTGATACAATATGATGAATTTTATTGAGTATCTTTGCAAGTGATCTTAAATGAAACGAAACAAGGAGTATCCTAGATTGAGAAACTTTCTATTTAAATGAAAGAATTTCATTTCTTCCATCAAAAACTGCAAATGAAATTATCTCAATACTAAAGCACAGTGAAATATGCAGAGTGTACAAATAAAATGATAAATTTGGTATGAGAATCGTGAAAAATAAAACCATTCATAAAATATTTGAGACAACTCCTCCAGCCTTAATAGGAAAAAAACAGAGAGCGGTTCAATGAAACAGGCGACTGATAAATTTGACAATCACCTTGAGATACGTAAGAGATAAAATTATGTTTAAAGATTGTCAAAAAATAGCATTTCAACAGAGTTTCCCGTGATTTTGGAGAATGATGAATAACTGAGAGAAATATTAATAAAATTACTTATTTGTTTCATTCTGAGGTCATTTTACCTGTTCAATTTTTTTGTTCAATTTGAGGACTAACTTGTAAGCTGCTTTTACTCTAAAAGATTCTTCAATGAGACTAGTCAAAAATGTAAAAAATGCATTTTTCTTCCGTTATGAAACAACAATAATTCTCAACTAGGTCTACTAATGAAACTACAGAGAAAGAGAAATGAAAAACACATGTATGTGTATAGTCATCGTTGTTTATCAAAATTATTGATGATAGAAAGAATCAATAAGCAAAACAGAGCCACGAACATCAAAGGATTTCCTCTGAGACCATTGAGCGGCAGATGACGCCAGTATTTACTTATGATGAACTGATAAAATTTCCAGAATATTTATTCCTCTAAAAATAGGAAAGGCTGTGCGAATTTTGAATTTTAACTGTTCGATCTGGTGTTGATAAAACTAAGGAATCATCTATTAAGACCATGAAGTCAAAAATTTTAGTTTTTCTGACACCAGACCGACGACAGATCTCTTTATAATAGAAGAACTCACAAAAAAGACAGTAAAAATGAAAGGAAATTTTTAAAGATAAAATTATCAGGGTAGCAGAAGTTTTGGAAATTGCAGAAATTTCGAGGATAATTTTCGTAAAATGACTGCGCACAAAGCAAACCGATGTAAAGTTTCTTTTGTTATTTTTTTTTTCTTTAGATCACATGTGTACATACATTACTCAACTATTAAGAGTGTGCAATTAAAAAAGTGCAATAATATATCAATAGGAAAAATTTTCGTATTTAGCTAAAATTATGATGATAATAAGTATGATGAAGTGGATGCAAAACTTTGATCTACTTCTTTTTTTTGCTGACAAGACAAGGAGACATCAAACACTGAGAACAAAAATATTAAATTTTTCTTAAACTGATGGAGGAAATTTGTAATTTAACAATAGTCAATAAGCTGCACCTAAATTTGTTGCTCGGCTGACAAAAGGGCATGACAGCACATTGAGATAAGCCTGAGTTGTATGAACAACAGGTTTAGGGTTCACCATGAAGTGTACTTACGCCCATATGTCAGAGGCGACGTATTGCTGCATTTTGCAACAACAACTCATCTAATCATAAGTGCTTTGAATAGGTAACGGGAAATACTAAAACTCCTCAATTTTAAAATGGAGAATTTTTTCCTGAACGTCTGTTCAGTATTCTTATACTCTGTTCTACAAATAAGAGAAAGAACTATATCGAAACTCTGGTTATTTGTGCATATTTTATTTCACCAACTTTGTAAATCAGGAGCAGCTAACACCATTTTATTTTCGGGAATCACAAAACTGTCTTGAGATAATTGAAGATGCGAAAAAAATGTTTAAAACAGTGTAAGTACGTGCAGACGACTCAGTATGCAAATTTCAATTGTAAAACATTTAATTTCTGTGATAAACACCTATTTAATGGCAATTTCATATTACAATGATTTATACGCTGTGACTTGAGCATCTTGTATCAAAACTTACAAAAGCAATGCATGGTGATGCCTACCATTCTGTCTAATCTTTTAAAGAAATAAGATCAGCAAACTTATGTACTTCAAAATTTATCAGGGTTTTTTATCAAAAAATCAGAAAATTGGAGAAAATTTCAAGTAATTACTTCCATTAGTGTTCCGTCTAATAATTTTCAAAGAAGAAAGGACTGATGCATCTCCGCCGATATTGCAAGTTTTGATATTAAGGCTCCAATGATCCTTCTTTTGAACTTTTGATGTCAACTTTAATGATGTTCTCGATATTTCTCCATTTGATGGATGTCATAAGATTCTTCTGTTCATGTACCATTAAAGCCATGACTGTTTATGTATGTAGTGTAATAAATACAAAAACTAAAGATAAAAGGCAGTCCTGATTACATCATTCTTCCTCCACAATAAAGATCTTGGGATACTGAGAAAAAGCAAGCATACTTGGTGGGTGATCAAACTTTTATGATGGAAATTACTCGATTTTCGATTTCAATGACAATTCAAGACACCAAAAAACAAGAGGACGCGAAAGTTGCTGTGCAAAATCTGCCATCTTTAAATGCCATGATTCTTGCTTGGCACAGCAGGATAGATTTCAAGGGAAAAACTTTCAAACTTTCCATGAACCATAAACTCCCTCCGCTCAAAAGACAAAAATTCCTCTTGAAAGAACCAAGAGAAATAGTAATAACAGCAGTGATAAAGTCAAACCTTCTTAGCTATGACCTAGCATCCAAGAAACTTATTGATAATCCCATACCTGCATTATCAGTGCTACAAAAATCTGAAATGAGTCAAGCAGAGTGATGAAAATAAAATAGTCTTTGACTAACAAAGATATAGATTTTTATTTCATTACTTATTGCAGTTGAAACTAATTAATAAAATTGATACCTAACAAAAATCACAGGTCAAGCTTGAAGCAAATTTATAAAAAGATCAAAATATTCCAAGGGATAGACAGTTTGAAAGTAGGTATACATGTGAGACGTTATTTAAGTCATACAAGAATGTGAACCTTATTAAACCAACTTGATTTACCCACTTTTATTTTAAATTCTGAGAGAAAACTTGTGGATTTCAAGAGAACAAATGGATTCATATCTAGTGAAATCAATCAACTGGAAAGAGGTTGTGTAAGGTTGTGTTTGCACAGATTAAGTAGTCTCTAAGGTCCCTGATTTTTTATACTCATGAAATGAAGATTCACGAAAGAATTATACATGTTCAAAATCTTGTTCACAACTCAAGAGTTATCTTCACAATCAACTTAGTTATTTCAAACTGATCCGGAGTTTAGGCAATAGGACCCAAAATGTATCTTACAAAGTAATTAGAGCAATTCTTACATTTTAGATGATGTTTGCTGGATATTTTTTTTCACAATCACAAACGAATTTGACTGATGCCTTCAACTGAAATGACAAGACCTATGATCAAGTTAACGAATAAACGGCTAAATGCCAAAAATGAGTCTCTCAATTGAAGCTTTTAAAAATATCTGATAAAGTTTTTAATTCCTTCAAAAACAACTAATTCAAATGTTTCCTTGTTATTTTGGATGATTTTTTTTAAAACAAGAGAAGAAAATTAACAGAAAATGTCATTAGGAACGGTTGGTTAGTTTTTCTTTGAAAAAATAGAACATGAGTGGAGTCTTACGAAGTTGCAATCTGAGATACGCATTTTTCAACTTCAGCCATCCAAATTTTATTGACATTTTTTACTTTTCCCAATTTTATCGCCCTATATCCAGGGAGAGAGAATTTTTGGAGGTTTATATCATGTATGGAGTTAAACTATACTAAAAAATATTCTCACACTTTAAAATTGTGCTGAATACTGATGGCAAATAAGAGTTACAGTGAGGTCACTCATGCATGAGGTTGATAATCATGATCGTTGACTAAAAATAAACTGAAAAAAAAATTGCTGAAGAGCTTTGATTCAAAAGTATCTGGGGGTCACAATTGCTTTTGAGCGATCTACAAAAGTAAACAGTCAATAACAAATACATACCGATACATCTAAGGAATCCATGAAAACAGGATTATTTTTGGGAAAATTTTTGATGTATTGATGCGTTCTTTCATTTGGCAGTATCATTTTTCATTAAATCTGCAAAAGGATGAAACAATTTTCTGAAAGCACCAGGGCCATTCCAAATTCCCCTGAAACAAAAAAAAAGAGCAGGATGAGAGGAGAGTAGGAAAAAGATTGATATTAAAGGCTCTTTTTCTTTTGGCCTGTTGTTAATTTTGAACCAGTTTCACAGATGAGAACTCACCAAAGTTGCAGCAATATTAACTGAGAGAAATAGGTTTTAAAGTTTTACACCTTCATGGGACCCAACGATATTGGCAAAGTTTAAAAACCATTTTCATGTTCAAAATATTTTTTTTCCACCAAGAATTTTTGATAGGAGAAAATTTACGACTATTAAAATTCAAAACTACTCAAAACAATTTGTTTTCAAAGACTTGATGAGTTCCTGTTGAAATCGGTCCATTTATTCCATCAGAATTTTCATTTCCATCAGAAGCTTCCCAAAATTGGTCCCTTATTCCATACATAGGGTTGAGTCAAGTTTCCTTCTTGTTATCTCTATTTTTCTGTAGGGAAAAAATAAGACTTTTATTTCCAAACTTCTCACCAAAAAATTAGATGAAGCAAAGATAAAAATGAAATACATACAAGCTAAATGAGATAACGTACGAGAATCAAGTGTCAAAAAAATAAACGGCATTTTTGGCTGGTCTAAAAATTGCCCACTAGAGAACTTAGCAACCACTTTTACTGATCATACAGTTTGCTTTGTTTGATTTGCTGGTAATACACAATAAATATTTTCTAAGATCTGAAAATGTACCTTGTGCACCTGGTCGAACTAAGAATTTAACTTACTTTAACATGCCATTCCAATACATGAATGGCAATACATTCTTCTTAAGAAAGTACATTGATTTTCTTTCTTTCGCTTGATTAAAAGGGAACGTTTCCATAGGCTGCAGCTTATAATCAAACTCCGCCATAATCAATGAATCATAACCAGTCACAAGGGGACAAGATGTGTAACCATTGTATGATGATTCGACTGGTTTTCCATCGAGACAAGCATACAGATTATTCCACAGAATTTTACTTTGAGCAGCTGTAACAAGAAGAAAAATCCGTAAAAACATTAGTAAGCTGTAAGCACTAAGTAACTTCATTCAGTTACATCTGTGATTGAAGACCAATAAAGTTTACTTGGACCAAGTTAGATAGAAGCTCATCAAGTCATATCAAGTTTGAATGAAGAAATAGAGGTTTAAAGTTTTATGTCTCCATTGGACTTAATGATAAGGGCAAAGTTTTACAACAATTTTCAGGTTCAAGATATTAATCTTTACTTTCAATTTTTTACAGGAGATACAATTCACAAGTTGTAATCAAAACCACACCAAAATTATTTCTCTTTCAAAATGCAACTTGGTGAATTTATTATCTTCTAAGCATCTTACCTCCCCATCACCCCAAATTCTTACTCTGTACATAAGCTCTTATGTTCTGTTGATTTGGACCGCGTTTAACAGAAAGGAACCAAGCCACATCAGCTATTGCCGAATTCAACTGAGCAATTTCACCTCTAACAAGAGAACTTTTGTGCAGATTTTTTTTTTTTTAAATTTTTAAAGAATTTGCTTCATACTATGCAGAAAATTCACTGAACTTTACAAAAAAATCTGCACAATGTACATGTAAAAAGTTGAATTTGACAACAGATGATGTGGCTTGGTTCCTTGCTGCTTAATACGGTACATTTATAATAAAACAAAATTAAATTTGAAGCGATATATGCTGTAAGGAACTGTACTGTACAACATTTTTTTCAAATTTATAGACTGAAATGAAAGATAAGTGCAGTGTAGAGTAAATCAAAATTAGAGTGCACTTATTATGGAGGGACACAAGTGAAAATCCAAAAATCTATCAGGCCTTGACCAATGCCTCTCGTACTAAGTTCGAGCCAAAAAGAGCCCATTCTTCTTGTCAGTTATTTCAAGTTACTACCAGAGCAAAGTTTGTTCATGAGAGCTCGGAAAATGTATCTAAAACATCAGTTTGATTTCTCAATACTGTGCTAAGTTTTCATGAGGTAATTTTTAGAAAAAAGACTGCTTTTCTGGGCCCTAATACCTCCCATTAAAACAGGTCCATACCCTCTAAACACTCACAGTAAAAAATCATCATTGATTTTTTCACAAAAAAGTTTTTAATGATTCATCTACAACCAACTTATTTTCAGGAGCAAAATTAGTGAGAGCCATTGATGAGATTTTTTCCTCAGAAAATGATTTGAGATTTGATTAATCTTTGACACTGCTTATGTAAAATTCATTTTAACAACCTACTGCAAAAAAGAGGGGAAAAAACAAAAAATGGCTAGCTTCACTGCTAACTGAACACTTTCTTCAACTTTAGTCAAGTAGAAAAAAAATAAGGAAACTTCCAAAGTACCTACACAACATTCATACACTGAAGTAAAATTCGATTGAAAACATAATTTTCTAGGGGGGAGGGGGGATGGTTCAATACTCCTGAACTGAAAAAGTCTTGACTTCTTGGAATCTTGGTGGAATCACTTACCTACAGCCGCAGCAGTTTTGGAAGTAGGTAAATTTGAACTATCACCGAGCGCAAAAATATTTTTATAATGCTTATGCTGTAATGTTTCCTTGTCCACATTCACAAACCCACTTTCATCGGTCAGCAAAGGCCCAGTTTTCAGAACAGCAGGAGGTGTCATTGGAGGAGTCACATGAAGCATTGAAAACTGAAAAACGTCATCAAACATGGCATTTTTGTGATCTGGATTTTGGAGAATGATTTCGCAAAAATTGTGCAAAAATAATTATCTAATCTTCAAAAAAATTAGAACTGACTGCAGAGCAGAGACAGTTCTTCCCTCACACAGTTTTTCCTAACAGCTTCTTATCCATGATTAAATCAACCTTTGCAAAAATAAACTTCCTGTACGATTTTTACAGGATGGAATGCAGCTTGGTTTGAGACTGAGCTTCAACTTATAAATGAGAAAATTGTTTTATTTATATGAAATCTGAAGATATATTGTCTGCAAAGGACATGATTTTTAAATTTTCTGAAAAAATTTGCACAAAAATATTTCATTCCTTCAAAAAGGAAGATGTATGGATGGATGGATACATATAACATCTACATTTCGATGACTGAAGTCGAAAAATGCATCTCAGATTGCGAGGTTGTAAATCTCTGCACATATTTTATTTTTTGATGCATCTGCTTGAACTGAACAGTTTCCTTCCTCAGTCTTACATTGATACTTATTAGAGTTAAACATTTTTTTAATCTATTCAAAATTTTGTGGCCTCAACTTCCCTGCAGAATATTGGACCTAGTACTATTCTACCGTCTGTTTCTTGCAGTTTGGGCCAAATTTGAAGTGTTTCTTCCTTTCCCTTGCTTAGGAAGAAATAAACCAACACTTTTTATCGAATTTTTTTATGAATTTTTGCAGGCACAATAAAAAGTTACAAGAAATTGCATGGAAGGGCATTTTTATTAGTTTCCCTTGGGAAAACAAAACATAGCCAGAGATTTTTAAACTTAGCAATTGAAGATGCACTTTTTTTGTAATTGACCTTCGATTTTCAGAAATTATACTGAAACTTTTTGGAAGATTTATTGTGATCCCATTGCTACTACACCAGCCCCCCCCCCCCCCCGAAATCCATAACGAGGGTGAAACTACCAGACCACATATCTCGTTTGCGGGGTTTAAAAATCTTCACTCATATTTTATTTTTTTGAAGGAGATCAAATCAATATCATTCCTTACAATTTTCACAGATTTTTCTCCGTACAAAGGGGAAAAATCACAGAGGTTTTCAAGAATTGACGTTGAGTAGTTTTCTATTTAAAAAATAAAGTATGACAGGAAGTCTGCGACGTCGCAAACCGAGATACGTGGTTTGGTAGTTTCACCGTCGATATTCTGATAGTTTTTGGTGCAAAATCAGAAGGCAACAAAATGATGCAATTACAACTTACTGGCACTTTCACAACTTCACCAGGCTTATCTAAAACATCAAATACAGCTTCCTTGGAATTTGGTAAAATCTCTTTCAGATTATGTCTGAGATTAACTTCAATATTTCTCCGGGCACAAATTTTATGCAGTTCATCTGCATACTTTTTACAAGAAAAAATGACAGGAGTCGCAGCAAAGTACTTCACATTTGCCTTGTCTCGTTTTCCATGCTGGAAAAAAAAGAAAAAAAGGGTTTTGGGTTATCGAAAGTGGAATATTATTTAAAACTGACATTTTTACACATGCTAAAAAACTGTAAAAACTTAAAACTCAAAGAAGCAAATCTTATAGTTGAAAATTATTTTTTTCAGCTAACGAATTCAAAGGATTAATTAATGAAGATAAAGAGTTCAAGAGGCACTTAAGAAGTTAAGATGTTCTCTCTGTCGGTGAAATAAAGGAAGGCTGAAGTGGCTTTTGGTTGATAGATTTAATCTATTTAAGGTCCTCAACTTACTTTCCAATTGTCACAAGATCTGACACTTTGATTTTAATTATGAGGTAAGTATGAGAGAATAGAAAGGAGCAAATCAGAGAACCTAAAAAGCACTTGGGAAAACAAATTCTACTGGAAGTGCACACTTTCATTTTTCGAACATTGGCAAATCTGATCCAGGTTTTGACTCACGTGTAAATATAAATATTCCAAAAATAACAGTGTCAATAGATTTCATGAAATTTGGCTACGAATATCTGGAAAGAGCATTGTCTTATAGCGAATGCACATTGCTCTTGAACAATATTTTCAGATGCTGCAGAAAAACTTGATAATCTCATCATTGGATGACCTTAAAATAGGAATGTTCCTAAACCTTTACCTTTGAAAAGTAAGATTCCGATAGGTAACAAATTTTCTGTGGCGCACCGGCACATTTAACAGGAGTGCTTGGGAAAGTAAAAACAGCATTCCCGGAGTCAAACTTTCGTATAGTTTCAAATGTTTTGGTCACATATTGGCTAGAATAGTTCGAGCAAACACCACTAGTTGGATCTTCCAAGGCTTGCACCAGTCCAGGGATCTGAAAACATCAAAGAATACTGATTTTTTAAGGGAACTTATGCTAATTTCCAACAAATCAAGAATAAATTAAAAAATGTTGGAAAACAATTTTATCCAGATTCTAAAATTTGTTAAGTTGCATTTTGACGGTAAGGTTGTTTGCCTTAGGGAGAAATTTGCTTTCTCACTTACTTGTTTATTATTCTATCATTGGTTTTTAAGACAAAAATGAACTCTCTTCTACTTTGGTATGGTTGTCATTCTATTGTAGTAATTTTTGTTCCTAAATATGAGCACTTTCTTTTACAAAATGATTAACATTTTTTTCTCCCTTTTATTTCTCCTCCTCTCTTCTCCTGGCATCAATGAGAGAATAATTTTAATGAATTATTGAATTAAAAAAAATTATACTTATGAATGTGTGATTTTTATAGATCAGAAACATGTGGGGATGGTATAAAAAGAATTGGGATTAGACAGGATTCCTTGTGAGCATCACAATTGAAACAGAATAGCATGTAAAACTTTGAATCCCAAGGAGAACATAGTGAATAATGTTTTCACAAAGTATTTTGTTTGCTCACTTTTTAACTACAAAATCACACATATTCCTTACCCGAGCTAAACGTTTACGATTATTACACTTTATTAAATCATCAATGAACTTGGAGTTTAATTTTTTTGAACAATCAATTGAATCTCATGGAATACAGGCAGGTGGCATAAAACGCATAGAACATGGGGTGACAGTTACTCCAATACCATTCGTTTTAACACCCCAGAGGTAGAAGGGGTGAGGAGAGGACATTAAAACAGGCGTGAAAGGCATCAAGCTAGTATAAATATAGAAAGCCGAATGGTGCACTCTTTGTCTGGCGACTTCATTATCATGAGATTTTGTTCTTTAAAAAAATTGAAAATACACAAATTTAAGACACAGTTAATAAACTTACCAGATCAAATCTTGTTTCAATTCCAGTTGCTATCACCATGTAATCATAGTAAATTTTTTTTCCCTTGGATGTCTTGACAAAGTTTTCCTTGGGATTAAAAGCTTCCGCAGCCTCTTGGTACCATGTTACACCTTCCGGTATTACTGAAGACATTGGTCTTCTTGAATCTGCAAGCGAATAGACACCTCCACCAACTAATGTCCACAGGGGCTGATAGTAATGAGTCTATTTGGGAAACCACAATAAAATAAATTAGTGAAATAATTCTCTGACGAAGGAGAGAAAATTGAGAAAACAAAGAACTTATTGACTGAACTGGGCGATGGTGCATTTAAAAGTACCAATATTCGTTTATCATGAGAGCAATGAAAAAAATGCAATAGCCCAAAAAGTCACGAGGATAAATAATACGAAAAAATCGGTCACCAAGGGTAAAAATTCTGAAGTCTAAAATGTCAGGCTATTTCATGGTCCTGACAACCTCATTTTAAACCACATGAACAAAATAAGTTCAGAAAAAGAAAAGAGCTAGAACCTACATATCTAAGTCCAGAGTAAACAAAGTAGCCTAGAGGTTACCTACCTTTTTTACCCTGAAATCAATAAAATTTCAGATTTAAAAGGATAACATTTTCAGATTTAGTCAATAAAACCAGCAAAAATGTTTACTTCAAACAACGATGTTATCGCAAGCACAGTCTTAGGGATTTTTTGCCTCTAGTCACAAATGCAACCAAGAGTAATTTAACCAATGCAGATGAAACGATATAAGATGGTCAGATCTTCCTATGATATCACAAAATCTTTCAGTGAAGTATTTTACTTTCTGAAATTGAGTTAGATACCTGACATTTTTTAAAGATGTTGTTTCAGCTCCCTACTTAAGTTTTGAGTGAATGAAAAACAGAAAAATTTCAGCAACCTCACTTTTGACGTCCTTCCCTAAGATAGTTTTTAAAAATTTGTGCAATAGCCTCATTCAGCAATAATGAAGTAAGCACGAATTTATGGACGAGGGGAGCACAAGTCAGCAACTATACCATCAAGAAATGTTTTTTTTCTCTGGAAGCCTCCAAGCGCGAATTTATTGTAAATTTGCTAGATTTATTTAATCAGTTACCAGAAAAGTATAGATTTCTCAGTTAAATGGGGGGGTCAATAAGAAACCTTAGCCCCTATTGTCTCCTTAATTTGAAAGATTTTTTTTTAAACTTTGGGACTGTTTAATCTTAAAATTGCAGTTTGAAGTTCAAATCCTTCGTAAACTTTTTGTTTACTTGTTGCTAAATGTTTTACCCTAGCTTCATCTCAGTGAATTTCACATCTTCTGAACATGCTTTTCTCTTGAATTTCTTTTTCAACTAGCAGATTCCATTTTATTTTCTTCTTTTATTTTACTATCTGTTACTTACTAGACTGTTCAGTTTTCCTGCCAGGCAGGGCTACCTTAGGTTCAATTCTTTGTCTGTTCCTTAGTGTTTGTAACACTCCATCCGCAGCCCTCCACACAAGCAGCATTGCTTATAGGATGATCTTGCTAGTTTAAATATGTCTATTTTTGTAATATTGTTTTGTAATAATAAATAAATAAAAATAAAAAATAAAAAAGGTAGCAAATTGCAACCTTTTACATTTTTATGAATATCATTCATGTTCAAGGGCCGATTGGCTCCCGATTTTCAAGGAGGTGGGCCAAGCCTAAAAGAGATTTAGGGGCTCCACCTGATAATAGGGGGAAGGGAAGCTTCAAACAAGGCCCTGAGAAACTGAGAACTTCCTTTAAAAGTGCCCGGTGCAGCCAAAAAAATCTGTCAATAGAGGCTTCTATGAGACTTTTGTGCCCAAAGTTCAGAAGGCAATTGCCCCTTTTATCAAATTTCAAGATCTTTCATCAAGCTTTTGTATCAAACGCTGGCTAAATAAAGCAGAAATAGGTGACTTGAGAGGAATAATATGATGACAACTGGCAATTATGACAAGCTTGAAATTGTGTTTATATCAGTCTCCGACAGGTTACCGAGAGAATGACCAGCTAGGCAAAAACACGTTCAAGACTATAGACAATCAACTAGGTATGGGCTGATGAGTATTGGCAGTTGCTATCATTCAAAATCTAAAAATCCGGTGCTTTTGAAAACAAAATATTAATTTTATATTATTATTTACTCACTCCTTGTGGTTCCAAAATATAAATATCATTGTTTTCGAAATGATGTATTGCCTTTGCTGCGATTGTGCATCCACCAGTGCCGCCTCCAACGATGAGCAAGTGACAACTGTAGGGGCAAAGAAAATTTTGTTACAATGTTAAAAAAAATATTTCAACATTTTGTACACCTTTCAATCATGCTGAGATTTACTTAAAAATTTTGGAAAAAAATTGGTTTAGGTATAGGATATGATCTCAGAAATTGCAACCGAATAAAAACTTAACAATAAGGGCGAAGTTTTTGAGGCTCTGCAACAAACTAATAATTTAAAAAAAAAAAAACTGAATTGTGTACTTCTTATTTTTTCCTTCCTGTGGTCACATATTAGATTTAATAGGCTAGTATTCAGGGGTCCTCATTATCAAACAAAATATTATGGATAACATGAGAGGTGACAAAAAATGCAAATCTTAATTGGAGTACATTTTGCAATTAAGAACTACGATTTCTGGCTCGTCCATAAAAACACTTATCGACCATGTAAGTCGGCAATCACATAGGTAACTTGGTTTGCGACGTCGCAGACTTCCTGTCATACTTTATTTTTTAAACGAAAACTACTTGACAGCAAATCTTTAAAATTGCCGTGATTTTTCTTCTCTGTGCAAAGAAAATTTTGTATACACTTCAAGGAATGATGTCAATTTGTTCTCTTTTAAAAAAACAACATAGAGGCGGAGATTTTCAGACTCCGCAAACGAGATATGTGATTGCAAACTTCGTCGTCGTCATGTGCATGGAAACTAATGGTACATGGGTCGCTTCCAGACTGAGTCGAAAATTGTAGCTCCTAATTGCAAAATGTAGTCCAATTGGCTTTGGAAAAATTCTGGTCTTTCTTCTGGTAAGAATGAGGAAACTAGAAATTGATAGAATTTCTTCTTTTCTTCATTCTTCCGTACAAGTATATTGAAAAATGTTGTCAATTTCGTTGATTGCTCCCTATAAAAATCAGTGTACAATTTCCTTTAACCATCGCAATTTAGTTACATGTCACAGTCTTCTGAGGCTAATAATTCAGTCGATCATTGGTTAATATATTCTACATGAAGGTAAGTGCAACGTGGGCACGATCTATTCGACTCGAAATATATGCATTCTCCCGTAGACATTCAGAGCAGAAAAAATATGCGCCATAAATAAAACAAATTCTGATTTAATCCAGATATGAGGATACATAATAAAAAATTACATACTGATCATTATCATCATTGTATTTAGAATGAGCTCCACGGCAGAGAAGAGTGATAGCTCCATGATGTTTGGACGCAGATCTGAGAAGGGGTGAAAGCAACATACTTCGTGACACTTGATTCGTTAGGGATATAAGATTTGAGATCCAAGAATCTCCAGTCGTTCATACAGCAATGGATGGGAAAGTACTGAATATAAGGGGCTTGAAGAAAAAGGAGGTAGAGTAATTGGCTATCAAATGAGAGATCCAGCGGGGGTTATTACGCATTGACGTATAATACAATCTAGACCGCGCATTACGAAATTCAAGCGAGACGATAGGCAACCCAGCAACACACATTAAGTGTACCGGCGAGACAATGGTGGAATTCGCGGAAATGCCAGTCTTGCCAGTGCCGTTGCCTGATACGGGTACACTTAGCTCGTATATCCGGCGGTATCAACTAGGCTGAAGGCGCGTCTTTACCCCCCTAGCTGTCTCACCTTCCCCGCCTAAAGTCGGGCCCAATGCGCGGTCTAGATTGTATTATACGTCAATGTTATTACGTGATCAGCGCAACACTTGAGATTTGCCACTTTACGATACAGGTCTGGTCACGCCCAGATTGAGGTTATGTCGTTAGTAAATCGATGAAACGCCTGTTTATCAATGGCAGTGTAATGGGAAATTGTGAGTTTTGACGTTAATTTACTATAGTACGGCCAATTTTCATCATTTTTTTTGTGTGTTGTGACTCCCCAAGTTCCCCCTGAAGATGTGAGCAGTTACAGTTGTGTTTAAACTCATTACAAGGAAAATATTGAAGATTTGGTTAGTACCTAATCTTCCGCTTCATGCAGATTGCTGCTACTAGGGTGGAAATAATTGATTTTCGTTCAAGTGGTGGAGTTTTCATCATAGGAAAGTGATTTTAAATCATCTTCTCTCATTATAGTTCTGTAATACAAAAATGCAGTCTCGAATTTCTGTCTCATATGCAACCATGAAGCCCATTCTGAGGTTTGTGCTCGCATTTTTCCTGTGGGATTTCATTACCTACCCAGTTCAAACTCACAGGAAGTTTTTCTGTATGATTGCTCTCTTTCCTAAGCAGATATGGCACTCTTTTGCAGTCAGACAAGTTCACCTCTTAAATTATTATCTTGTAAATGATTTCCTTTCTCATCCAATAAGTATTTAAGTACCTTCTGCTCGCCA